TAGTGGCCCCTATAGGGAGCTCCACCGAGGGCCCCTGTGGCGCAGTCTCCATGGCGGCGCCGCCCAATTTCGGCACACCCCTCACACGTTTCGTGTCCCCATAAGAGCTTCACAGAAGGCCCCAGTGGCAGGGTTCGCACGCGTCGCCCCGCGCATTTCCGCACACCCCTCATACTACTCGTGGCCCCATAGGGAGCTCCACCGAAGCCTCCTATGGCAGGATTAGCATGCGTCCCCCCGCCCAGCACATCCATCACACGCTTCGTGGCCTTCCACAGGGAGCTCCACTGAAGGCCCCAGTGGCAGGGTTCGCATGCGCCCGCCGCCCATTTCGGCACACCCCTCACACGTTTCGTGGCCCCATAGGGAGCTCCACCGGACCCATTTCGGCACGCCCCTCACACGTTTCGTGGCCCCATATGGAGCTCCACCGAAAACGGTACCCACAATGCGGCACTCGCATCTGCATATGGTTGGGTTTTTCGTCGGGCTAATCTTTAAAACGAATGTGCGCTGCGCTAAGGCGAGAGCCACATTTTGAAAACCACCCGCCCTCAATCCGCGAAGCTCTTGCAATTTTGTCACGACAGTGCGCGGCGCGAAGGCGAAGGCCACATTTTGAAAACCACCAGCCCTCAATCCGTGGACCGCTTGCAGCGTCTAAAAAAATATCCCGGCAAAGCAACCTAACAGCGATGTGTAGGAGCATATTTGGAAGCATTCCCCTTAAGATTCAGATAAGAATCCAGTTGTAGAATTCTGATGTTCTCGCAGTCGTAGTCGCATTCGCGATGACAGTCGCAGTGGCAACGGCAGTCGCAGTCGTCAGTCACAGCCTCAGCCTCAGCCTGCCTCAGCCTCAGCCTCAGCAGTCAGCCTCAGCAGCCTTCAGCCTCAGCCTCAGCCTGCTCAGCCTGCATCAGCCTCAGCCTCAGCCTCAGCCTCAGCCTCAGCCTCAGCCTCAGCCTCAGCCTGCCTCAGCCTCAGCCTGCTCAGCCTCAGCCTCAGCCTGCTTCAGCCTCAGCATCAGTCTGCCTTCAGCCTCGGCCTCAGCCTCAGCCTGCCTCGGCCTCACCCTGCATCAGCCTCAGCCTCAGCCTCAGCCTGCCTCAGCTCAGCCTGCCTCAGCCTCAGCCTCAGCCTGCTCTGCCTCAGCCTCAGCCTGCTTCAGCCTCAGCCTCAGTCTGCCTTCAGCCTCGGCCTCAGCCTGCCTCTGCCTCAGCCTGCATCAGCCTCAGCCTCAGCCTCAGCCTGCCTCAGCCTCAGCCTGCCTCAGCCTCAGCCTCAGCCTCAGCCTGCCTCAGCCTCAGCCTCAGCCTGCTTCAGCCTCAGCCTCAGTCTGCCTGCAGCCTCGGCCTCAGCCTCAGCCTGCCATCAGCCTGAGCCTGCCTCAGCCTCAGCCTCAGCCTCAGCCTGCCTCAGCCTCAGCCTGCCTCAGCCTCAGCCTCAGCCTGCTTCAGCCTCAGCCTCAGTCTGCCTTCAGCCTCGGCCTCAGCCTCAGCCTGCCTCAGCCTCAGCCTGCAGCAGCCTCAGCCTCAGCCTCAGCCTGCCTCAGCATCAGCCTGCCTCAGCCTCAGCCTCAGCCTGCCTCAGCCTCAGCCTCAGCCTGCTTCAGCCTCAGCCTCAGTCTGCCTTCAGCCTCGGCCTCAGCCTCAGCCTGCCTCAGCCTCAGCCTGCATCAGCCTCAGCCTCAGCCTCAGCCTGCCTCAGCCTCAGCCTGCCTCAGCCTCAGCCTCAGCCTGCCTCAGCCTCAGCCTCAGCCTGCTTCAGCCTCAGCCTCAGTCTGCCTTCAGCCTCGGCCTCAGCCTCAGCCTGCCTCAGCCTCAGCCTGCATCAGCCTCAGCCTCAGCCTCAGCCTGCCTCAGCCTCAGCCTCAGCCTCAGCCTCAGCCTGCCTCAGCCTCAGCCTCAGCCTGCTTCAGCCTCAGCCTCAGCCTCAGCCTCAGTCTGCCTTCAGCCTCGGCCTCAGCCTCAGCCTGCCTCAGCCTCAGCCTGCATCAGCCTCAGCCTCAGCCTCAGCCTGCCTCAGCCTCAGCCTGCCTCAGCCTCAGCCTCAGCCTGCTTCAGCCTCAGCATCAGTCTGCCTCAGCCTCGGCCTCAGCCTCAGCCTGCCTCAGCCTCACCCTGCATCAGCTCAGCCTCAGCCTCAGCCTGCCTCAGCATCAGCCTGCCTCAGCCTCAGCCTCAGCCTGCCTCTGCCTCAGCCTCAGCCTGCTTCAGCCTCAGCCTCAGTCTGCCTCAGCCTCGGCCTCAGCCTCAGCCTGCCTCAGCCTCAGCCTGCATCAGCCTCAGCCTCAGCCTCAGCCTGCCTCAGCATCAGCCTCAGCCTCAGCCTCAGCCTCAGCCTGCCTCAGCCTCAGCCTCAGCCTGCTTCAGCCTCAGCCTCAGTCTGCCTTCAGCCTCGGCCTCAGCCTCAGCCTGCCTCAGCCTCAGCCTGCATGAGCCTCAGCATCAGCCTGCCTCAGCATTCGAAATGTGGCCTGGGAATGGAGTTCTGGGAGCTCGAAGAACCCGAAGTGGCCTACAGTTGGCTCCGGGCATTCAAAATCATGCCCAGGAATGGAGTTCTGGGAACTCGAAGACCACGAAGTGGCCTACAGTTGGCTCCGGGCATTCAAAATCATGCCCAGGAATGGAGTTCTGGGAACTCGAAGACCACGAAGTGGCCTACAGTTGGCTCCTGGCATTCAAAATCATGCCCAGGAGTTGAGTTCTGGGAACTCGAAGAACACGAAGTGGCCTACAGTTGGCTCCGTGCATTCAAAAGCATGCCCAGGAATGGAGTTTTGGGAACTCGAAGACCACGAAGTGCGTTACTGTTGGCTAAAAAAGAGTCCCCGGCATCCTCCCCTGGATCGCGCCCAGACCCCCCTGGGGCGTCAAGATGCTCTCTTTTGACCCTACTAGAAACCCATCAGTCTTCGCTGTTAGGTAACAATGGTGCTAGGCGCTGAGGCGAGAGCCACATTTTGAAAACCACCCGCCCTCCATCCGTGAAGCTCTTGCAAAGTTTTGAACGAATGTGCTCGGCGCTGAGGCGAGAGCCACATCTTGAAAACCACCCGCCCTCCATCTGTGAAGCTGTTGCTTGGTTTTGAGCTTCGGGATCATAAACGGTGAGGAATTCTCGGGCGAAACGCCCGGCCCGCCAGTTCTACCTGCCTCGGAGTGCGACAAAGAGGAGTTGTTTAGAAGAAACGAATTAATGGGGACGACAAGGACAAGGAGGTCGACGACGAGGCGGCGGGGGATGGGGGGGAAAATTGGAGTGGCGGAGCGAGGGCGGCGGGACTGGTCTGAATGGCGTGACGAGGGCCTGGTAAATCGGGCGATCGCAAACATGGATCAAGGGGGCGTGGATTAGCGACGGGCCCCGCTTCCATGGGAAATGGCAGATTCCCGTCGCCGAACGAGGCGGCACCGGCCGCATTTGGGGGAGGGCGCCTCCCCCGATCCATGGATAAGGCGACCGCGCGCCAAATCCATGGATCGCTAATCCATGTTTGCGCGCCCCCGAGTAAATGCGGCGGGCGAACCTTTATGCGCTCCCCGCGCATTCTGAAGGGCGGCGACATCGGGGAGCCAGAAGTCTGCACCTGCAGTCACATCCGTGATAAGTTGAGGAAGAACGAATCACGTAAACATGCATTTTCGCAGATTGGATTCGTTCCCAACCATCCTGTGGTGTTGGGTCCTCGTTTTGAAGAGACGGTCTCCGCGCCCCTCCTCTCCTCCCCCTCCTCCCTCCCTCCCTCTTGGCACACCCCTCACAGGTTTCGTGGCCCCATAGGGAGCTCCACCGAGGGCCCCTGTGGCGCAGTCTGGCGCAGTCAGCATGGCTGCGCCGCCCCATTTTGGCACACTTCTCACACGTTTCGTGGCCCCATTGGGAGCTCCACCTCAGGTCCCAGAGGCGCAGTCCGCATGGCTGCGCCGCCCCATTTTGGCACACCCCTCACCCGTTTCGTGGCCCCATAGGGAGCTCCACCTGAGGTCCCAGTGGCGCAGTCTGCGGGGGGCGCCGCCCCATTTCGGCACACCCCTCACACTTGTCGTGGCTCCGTTGGGAGCTCCACCGAAGGTCACAGTGGCGCAGTCCGCATGGCGGCGCCGCCCCATTTTGGCACACCCATCACACGTTTCGTGGCCCCATAGGGAGCTCCAACTAAGGTCCAAGAGGCGCAGTCCGCATTGCGCCGCCGCTCTATTTTGGTACACCCCTCACACGTGTCATGGCCTCATAGGGAGCTTCACCTAAGGTCCTGCGCATCGTTATTATCATCGCCATCATCGTCGCTCGCCCCTCGCACGTTTCGTGGCCCCATATGGAGCTTTACCGAAGGCCCCAGTGACAGCGTCCGCATGGCGTCCCTGGCCCATTTCGGCACATCCCTCACACGTTTTGTGGCCCCATAAAGGGAGCTTTACATCAGGCCCCAGTAGCAGCGCCCGCATGGCGGCCCCGTCCCATTTCGGCGTAATACTTTGCATATGGTTGGGTCCTTCGCCAGGCTGATTTTTCATTGGCATGTTGGTATCATTGCTTATCTAGCCCATTATTGGCCCATTTCGTTGGCCAGCCCCTGAGGGCACATTTGCGGCGGTTGCATACTTGGATGCCCAAGGCTCTTGCATTCTTACCGTGCATCCTTCTGATGTGCCGCGACTGTGCCCCGCCCTCATCTCGTCCGTGCCCCCTTCCCCTACTCTCTTTCGCTCTCCCGTCCCCCTCCCCCTCCTTCCTTCGAGTGGGCTTGGGGACAGGTGTGCATTTCTGTTCTTCTCCCCAGACGTGGTCACTGTGGGAGCTATGGGGCCCGACGCGGTCAGCAAGGCGCTCAAGGCCACGATCTTGACGCAGAAGTACATGGCCGACTCACTAGACTAGAGCCAGTCGATGGTGGCACTGGCGGAGGTGGTCTGTATTGGCGTGCCTAGGGGAGGTGTCCACCAGCACCAAGAGGCCTCCGCAGGGCTCTCATACGCTTAGATGTTTGCGGATGTCAGGCCAAGGCCACGCCGAGAGGTTGTATCCGCTAAGATCTGGGCTCTCAGTTGGCCTACGGAAGCCCGGTGTTGGTGGTGGATATTATAGTCGTTCTGTCCCGCAGGAGGTTCTAATCCCATTGTAAAACCGGAGGGACTCAAAATGGATTGCCCTGGCTCTCAGCGTGGGTGTAGCCCATTCCTCCCCCTTCCCCTTCCACCTCCTCCTCCCCTCTCCTCCTCCCCCCTCCTCTTCCTCCCCCCCGAAGCAGACTACCTCCAAGCCAAAGGCAGGCCGAGCCACCTGCGCCAAGGCCCCCGACTGCTGCACTGGTTGCGGACTCGGGCGGGCTGGCACTCGCCCTGGTGCCGAGGCTGAGTTATCTCAGTTATCTCATCCACGTGGTACCCCTCCCCCATGCTCCCTCTCCACAATTATTACATATGAGTGCTACTCTCCTCTCTGCCCTGACGGCGTGCTGAAAGTATCACGCTCTTACAGCCTGTTGTGTTTTTTTCGCCGTGTGTATGTTATATTCCCGATTTCCCGATTTGTTTGCAATCGGAACGTTCCCGGTGTTTCATACAGTGGAGGCCCATGCCGCACCCTGCTTGTCTCCAGGGTGCCCTTGGTTTCTTGGGTTTCGATGGCTTTGCCGTGGAAAGCGTGACGTTCCCACCCCAAAAACCAGTGGACGTCCCAGAGTCTCATGGTTGGGTTTCTTGTGGAAGGTTTCTTGTGGTCGGGCCTCCAGCGTTCGCATCATGTCATGATCTGTGCTTTTTTTTGTGTATCCGAGCCTCTCCCCGTCCTCCTGCTCCTCCCGCTCCTCCAAGTCCTGCCTCTGCTGCTGCTCTTCCTCCTCGTCCTCCTCCCTCCTCATCCTCATCCTCTTCCTCCTGTTCATTCTACTGCTCATTATCCACCACCTTCTCCTCCTCCTCCTCCTCCTCCTCCTCCGCCTCCGCCTCCTCCTCCTCCTCCGCCTTCTCCTCCTCCTCCTCCTCCTCCTCCTCCGCCTTCTCCTCCTCCGCCTCGTCTGTTTGCGCATCGCAGATGGTGTGTCCTCCTGGGGGTTGCAGATCACACCCTTGCGCAATTTGAATGGATGGGTGGAATGGGACGATGTCCGGTATGGCGCGAACGAAGCTAGCTTGCTATCATCTCTCGTCTCACCTCTCCTCCCTCTCATCCTCCTCCTGTCCTCCCTCTCTCTCTTCACGTCCCCTCTGTTCCCATACCCCTCCTCCTGCCCTCCCTCGTTCCCGCCACGCCTCGTCCTAGCCGCCTCGTCTCTCGTGGCCTTCCTGTCATCCCCCTCGTCCCTTCTGCCCTCCCCTCGCTCCAGTCCCTCCTTGTTCTCGTCGATCTGCCGCCGCGTCGAGGCTGAACTCCTTCGAGCAGAGCGGGGAGGAGCGCACCCGCGTTCTGCTCGGCTGCGTCCGCGTGGAGGGGCTGGCGCGGTGAGCCTCGGGGCGAGTCCGCGTTAGGCGAGTCGTCGCAGGTGTTCTCCGCGCCTCCTCCTCCAGCTCCTCGCCTCTTCACCCTCGCCCGAGGAGGCGGAGGAGGAGGACGAGGAGGAGGAGGAGGGGAGGAGGAAGAGGAGGAGGAGGAGGGAGGAGGAGGAGGAGGAGGAGGCGGAGGAGGAGGAGGATGAGGAATAATAATAACTATAATACGAACCAGAGGAAGAATACTATGCATATTTTGAGTACTATTAATAATACAAGGAAGATACTAACAAGAGTCATGCGACGAAAAAACGCGCATACGAAGAGTAACACCACAACTACTAATAATACTAAGAAAAAATGAGAACATGAACACTAAGAATACTAATATTAATACGAATAATACTATTAAGGACAACACTAATGATAGTACTACTAATACTAGTACGACGAACACTAAGACTATTACGAACAGGCAAACTACTATTGACACTAATAATACGACGAAGACGAATAATACCACTACTGATACGACCTGACGAATCAGAGTACGAACCAGACAACGACGACTAATACGTCTCATACGAATAATAATACTAAGACTAAGCAGGCAACGCACACGAATCATACGAAGCATACGCGTAATACTAAGAATATTAGTAGTACGAAAAATGAGAAGTTGACTACTAGAAGAAGAATACGGCGACTACTAAGACCATTGATACGACATCTCATATTAATAACAATCTGAAACACAAGACGAACCATATGACGAATATTACGACGAATAATACAATAATAATGGTAATGCTACTACTACTAGTAATGATAATGATAGTACTCACATCGAAGATGATGATACTACTGTTAACCATAAGAATAATAAGAAGCAGCACAACACTAAGTGGAGGAGGAGGAGGCGGAGGAGGAGGAGGAGGGATGATGATGATGCTGATGATGCTGATGATGCTGATGATGATGATGCTGATGATGCTGATGATGATGATGCTGATGATGCTGATGATGATGATGATGATGTTGATGATGTTGATGATGATGATGA